ACTTTAATTTAAGTTTTAATCATCTTTTAAGCTTAACCAAACATGGGTTAAATATAAATATGATTCAAAGAAAACATTAACGCAAATTATTACATTGGAGTACACTTTTTTTTTTCTTTTCCTATTTGGTTTGAAGGCAAATGGAAACACTTTCCATTAACATAAGCTGCTGCGAACACGAAATGTAGAATACAATCCAACATGGTACTAAAATCACGTAAAATAAAGTCACTTTATTCCCCTCACCAGGAATGAAGCAACAAGAACCACAATAAAAAGAAAATTATTGAAGTTATTATGAGTTTTGGAGGAAATCGTTTTATTAGCCCCTGAAAAAATAAAAAATCTTTATGCAGCCAGCTGGAAGACCTTGTCATCGGTCGGATAGTTTAGAAGGCACCTTGCATAGCTCCTCGTACACCCATAATTTTGTTCTCATACAATTGTCAATGACCATACCTTTCCCTATGAAAAAAGGACCTTCGAAAATAAAAGTTAGGCTCCTCGATATGTTTCAACGTCTTCAGATTTGACCTCAAATTTTCAATATTACGACGACTCACACCCCTACATCCAGATAGATCAATATACTCAAGGTCCAAACACCCTTCAGAGATCACAGCAAGTCCTGTTCCCGTGAACTTCGAATATCGGAGTTCAAGTCGCAAAAGACGAGGCATAAATTTTCCAATAGCAGCAACTTCTGAATTCCCATCCTTGGGAAAGGCATTCAGATACTCATTGGGGACGATTCCAACATGTTGGGAAGGATCCACCCAATTCATCAAATTCCGCCTAAGAATATGCAAGTTAGGACAATGCGATCCAATTGTTGCCAAAGATGTGTGAGATATTTGATAAAAATAGCTGACATCAAGCTCCTTAAGCTTGGGACATCCAGAAGCAATTTCAGCCATAATTACATCAGATACACGAGAACAGTTCTTGATAGAGAGAACTTGAATATTTGGACACCTGCCAGTGCTAATAAGACATTATATGCCCTCTTTGGTTTTGCTAAAAATCATGAAAAAAAGCTAGATTAAGGCTCGATTACCCTTATCATTTTCAACCGCATGTTCTCACAATAAAATATTTTACACATAAACAATAAAAAATTTTCATACTTATTAACTATGCATTCTCCAAAAATCACAATTTCAAGATCCATTTTTCCCAAAAACTCTTTTTAATATCCTGGTGCCACAATATCTCACAATAGGTGATTTTAAGAATTTAATCCACAAAAACAGAAGAACAGGTTGATATTTTCTTTGCTTTTTCACCACACGTCTCCAAAAACACATTTTTTTCCAAAAAAATATTATCAACCGGGGACTACATCAAATATAATTTACCATAATGAAACCTCGTAAATTACTAAGCCCCTATTTGGTAACGATTAAAATCTCGATTTTAATTTGAGCCAAAGTCAACAATTCATTTCAACCAAATACTTAATGTATTTTACGACTTTTCAATCATAAATTTCATCAACTGCTATCAAAATTTATTAAAAATTTGATTTTAATCCCCCACCAAACAATAGCTAAAACTGTCCAAGCTGAAATCAATAACTTGAACTAAAATAGATAAAAGTGGAAAAAGTAAACAACAATCAGCTGAAAATATTGTAAGGTTTGGATTAAAATTCCACTTCAATTATTAGTTCAACAAAAACTGATTGATGGAAAAAACGATATGACCAATAATTAACTACATGAAAAATAACAGCAGTGGTTTCCATCTCCGCCCAGACTGCCAATGGAAGAAAAATTCGATAACTGAAAGAATAATTTAAGGAACTAAGCACAAATCATGAGAGCAGATACACAGGGAAATAAACAAAAATACCTTTGAGCAACCAAAGACAGGGAGCGATCCGAGCAGTGTCTAACACGAATTTCGGTAAGGGACTCACCGCTCCAGCCGATGACTGATACTATCATGTTATCGATCCTGCTCTCGAACTCGGGGGTCCAGAATCGGGGCAACTCAGTGACCGAGTCGAATTTAGTCTCGAGGTCGAACACTGAGTGGAGGTGCGGATCTTTGCATGCCTGCAGCCACGCCTTGCATACACGCATGGCTCCCAGCCATCGGTCCTCCAAAGAGAGGCGCGAGAGGATGTTGATGAGGCACTCCCAGATCAATTCGGCCCAGTCATGAGCGAGTTCTCCTGAGTCAGTGATATTGTCTTGGTTCTTGCCCTCCATTGCAGTGCATTGATTGATTCCATTCGAGTCTACAGATATATAAACGACAGTGATAGGTATTTAAACAAATGCACATTTTCATTAGCAGTTAAAAAAAATTAAAACAGAAACCGTGCCTGTTCAAACTGGACAGAGCTGGCGTGTTTCGTTCGGCGATAATCGGCATTATAGGCCTCAGTTCTCCCAAATTTTGAATTTGGACCAGGAAGTTGGAATTTCCCCTACGACACCTCCCCTAGCCCGGTTTGAATTTGCTAAAATTTTAATAAATTTTGATAAATGTTAATGAAATAAATGATTAAAAAAATTAATAAAAATTGTAGATTTGATAAAGTATGATTAAAATTAAGAATTTATTCATTTATCTGTCAATGAAAAATTTGAAAAAAAATAAAAATTAATTTTTTTTATTATTTCTATCGTGAATCATTTGAAAAGTTGGATCCATGCCTTTTGGAAGGAGCAACTGATAAATGTAGTTTCTACACTTATTCGAGACCCTAAATTAATATTTTATTATCTTTTGGATAAAATTCTACATAATTTATATTATATT